GATTTGCATTATGTCTGCAGTCTGTGCAGGCAGTGCCTGAAGTAACATCGAGTAGCGTCCTCAGCTGCTCCAAGCTCGATCCATATACCGCCTTCAAGACATCAAAGAATTCCTTGTGTTAGCGGCATCCGGTGTAACATTCCATCTGCTTCGCCTTCTCCGTCACCATGCATGTTTAATGCGATGGAGCTCTCTAGTCACTTGGGGTCTGCCACATACGCAGCAAACGCTGCATTCTTCTCCCACCAATGCGCCAATCGTCACTTTGTTCTCAGCAAACCAATCAGGCCGCTTACAGTTTGCGCGCCCGATGGTCTCCTAGGCAGCAGCTGTCACCTGGTCGCGAATGTGGTGCCACCGGGCGCCCACTGTGGCTATGCATACCACATCACACAGGCGTGCAGCCATCGCCTTCTCCAGCTCAATAGGTTTCTCCACAGTAACCAGGAAGAGGATGTTAACTTTACGTCGATCCACGGCGGGAGTGCAATGCATAGATTTACGAAACTATATGTACATTTTGGTCCGCAGTAATTTGTGATCAGTGCCATACTCAGCTTCACACATACACGTGTCATGCGCACTTCATGCATATCACGTCGAGTAGGTGAGCGTGAACACTCCGTGGGTGTGTCCAAGTTGCTATATCACTCGCACTCAGTGCAAACCGAGTGTTCGTGATCGTCAGCCCGTGAGTGGCACACAGTGAGAGTAGCCTGTCACCCTTCGCATGCGCTGAACGAATTCCCTCTTGACCGATGACATCTGTTCACACCGACGCATCTTCATGACAAATGCGCTCGTTGAAATCACCCAGCAGAAACAGTCGGTCGCTCTTCGACACAGACCGTATCATGGAGGATATTTGAGCGTAGAACTGAGGACGCGTGTCATCAGGATAACTCATGGTCGGACCGTACGTGCTCATAACAGCGTCAAACTTACCCCTTCTGAGTTGTAGGTGAACAGTCATCTGTCGCGCACTGATACCAGTGGGCTCGCCCACTGGTGATCGGATAGTGCAAATCCGACCCCATGTTCACGTGTTGCTGTGGTGGCATTTTCCACCCAGCAGAACGTATAGCGGGCACTAGCTTCATGCAACTTATTTTGCTCAGCGAGTAGGGTCTCGCTGAGCGCCGCAATATCGATGTTGTAGCGCGCCAGTCTCATCGCGACCAGTGCAGTGCATCTCTGGGGAGGCTCACTTGTATTCCGGTCTAGCAGTGCGCACGCTCCAACACCCAATGTTGAGTGCTCTACGCGGGTACATACGATTGAGTTGGCGGGCAACCGCATGAGTGGTGACGACCTGGATTAGAGGAAGTAGTGGGTCAAGTGAAACAAGGACGGTGAGAGTATGTGCGGGGGAAGAAGAAAAGAGGGAGCCGTCAGCAGTAGCACATTTTCGCTTATCCACCCTGCTGTATGCAGCAGATAAGCCGACCCTTTCTTAAGGCCACTGTGCGACGGCCGAAGCAGCATGGATTTATTACTATTGTCGGTGTAATTCATGGTTAGAGGGTTGGACTAGGATAGTGACAGTGAGCTCACACCTGACAGGAGAACCACTCGGGTCCTCAGCCAAATTCCTGGGTAAAGTAAACACCTGAAATTCAGCAGGCTGAGCGCCATGACAGTGAACCGATTCCTGCGGAAGTGTGTCCTGAATCTAAGATAGTAGAAGGGTGTAACCCAACTCTCACCCAACGTTCGCTACGAGGTGGCTTCCAGGATATGAGCCCAAAGCACAACATTAACAGAAGCGGGTCGACGAACTGTCAGTTCTCGTCACCACAAGCTTCACTGCACCATTGATTCTCCCGCCTTGCGGGGAAGCGGAAGGGGGGTAAACCAGAATAATATTATTAGGACACGAAGAAGGTGAGTGTATCACGAACTAATGTAGCTTTCAAGAGTTGGGAATCAAAGCAGAGCTGATCGGTGTGAATTCCGCGGGCCATCAAGAGGACGGTTGCCTAGGTGCAGGAGAACGCACTATTGCAAGCAGAGGAGAAGCGCGATGCGTCCGCTCCCATACTATTTACTAATCCAGGATAATAAGGCTGCGGATGTGGTACGTTTGCCGGTGTGATGAGTAATCTTGCATTTCAGAAGTAGATGTTGTTTGAGCTCCCCGGTGTGGCTGCGCCTGATATGAATGTTGACAAGAAACCTATTTGTCCGATTCCCTCCACCTCAAATTCTGGCTCCAAGAGACAGCAGTGCGTTGCTGGAGACGAAGGAGCGCACCATCCTCGTGACGGTGTTAGGTTCACAGAGTGGTCCCATCCTGTGTGGAATGGGATACGGTTTAGCCACCGCATTGTGTACGTCTGGTGTGTATGATTTCCCAATTAGGCCGGAATACTTCTGTTCTGCTTGTTGAAGGAGTGTGCGCCGGCTCCGTTGATGAAAGGTGGCTCTATCCACATGCCTCCCGGTCTTATTCCTTCGGGTTTACACCGGATATGGGGTGGGTGGGTGGAACTGTGGGTGGTGCAGCGCAAACCACCCATGCTCCTCTTTGTAAGCACAGACGTCCTTTGGCTGTTCTATGGAGGCCACAGTGACAGGCAAATCAGGCAAGGATGTCACCGATTCATATATATATATATATATATATATATATATATATATATATATATATATATATGGTTTACGGTTCAAGAAGCTTGCATTTTCTATCTTAAAAGCCATGCTTTGGCGAACGTAAATCAAATACATAGCAGATAATTAGCAGACCGCAGTCATAACTGTGAGGCAAACATTGGAGACTAAGTGCAGGCTTTAGTTTTGCCTAGGCTACAAAGCTATTCTGATTAGAATAGAGGCCCTCTAGGTGCCTGGTAAATAAATCACCTCAGTTAGCATGTGTACATAGACTCTACTGCGTTATCAGGTAAAGCTAAAAGGGGAAAGTGGAAAACACGGTTTGTCTATGCATTCGGCGTAATTCGTCGGTTGATAAGTGATCGATAAATAAAGAAGTGAATGGCAACCATGGTTGTGATCACGTAGAAAGCCCAGCTAACGGGTTTTTGACCATGGTAGTTGCTGCTACTCGTGGAGCATGGTAGCTTGGTGATAAAGGTTAAGCTATCCGTCAAGACAAGGACGAAGGCAAGTACGAAGCCTGACATAGGGTAAGATACTGGATGCAAGCAACACAAAAATATTTCCACTTCAAATGCGTGCCCAGTGACCTGAATGACCTACGGTCACGTCTAGGTAGGCCGAGGTCCACATGGAGGTTGCATGTTGCGATCAAAACCCAAGGCAGGCACTTTGAGACCTGACAGTGTCGTACCGCAGTTAATTAATTAGCTGGTCTTGTTAAAAGCTAGCAATCGTCGTGGGGACGAAACAAGTTGCTCTGCACGGTACTGTGATATCTCACACGACTTGGCATGCTACTACGTCCGAGCAAAAGTCGCGAGATCTCCGAATTAAGGCAAACTGCGTGGGCGCGCGCTCGCTAGTCTGTTGCTTGTGAACTGGGGGTAGATAAAAACATAGTCTGGGCGCACACAGTGGTGATCGGGCCATAGTTTTTGGGCCTATCACTATCACAAAGACTGAGTACCACCTCTTCCACTCCAACCATTGTCAGTCTCCTGGAACCAACAAATCCAAACGGTGGAGTTGGATGAGTTGATTCTCTTAAAACAACCGCAGCAACTGTAGTCATACTACTGCCAAGCGACTTAAACGTCCATATTAGCGACAGACACCGTGTGGTGATTTTCTTATTGCTAAAGCTGTTTAAGATACATTTGAACGATCTCACTCTAGCAGTACTTAATTGATTCGCTGCTTAGGTTGCACCTGTTTTGAGCCTCAAGGAAAAGTCGTCAAATGTAAATCAATCTCTTTCCTTACCAGACTATATCAGAGAATAATTTGCATTTTACCATCGCCAAATTCTCTGATTATGTCCTCTCCCACTTCGGGAAGGTTTACCAAATGGCAACAAGTAAGTCCATAACACTCGCTTTGTTTTGAGGCAAGGTCGGGAGGGAATAAACAAAAGTTCACACTGGATATCTCACGCATAACTACTGGTGATCTGCTGCTGATCTGAGGGTATAGAAGTAGCTACCTTGCGCAATTCTGAGAGATGATCATGAAAGCCTAATCCTTTGCAATCTAAGATTATTATTTTCGCCACGAAACGGGTAGGGACTTCAAATAACACAAAAGGCTAGCTTCTGCTTGTTCCAGCCAACGGGTGGTGATTTTCTAAGAACCAATTTATCTCCGTCACCAGAGGGTTACAAGAGGCCTGCAGATCACTGGATGCACTAGAGATTGTAATTGAGGCGTTTGCCACACATGGCCAAAAGGTTGAATCTTGGAACCAGTGGAATAAGGCCGGCAAAGTAAGGCTAACTTAGCCAATCAGACGGGCGTGTCCCCGAACGATAATTCAGTTCGGCCATGAAAGCCGGACTTTAGACACCCTACGCCTATTTCTTGATGCTTTTAACATTACTAATGAGTAGACGGATTTGGGTATGATTCGGTTTGGTTCATTGCAATTAGATTCCAAGCCGCATAGGTGAGATACCAATCCGGAAAAGCACCAGCCGCACGTTTCGCCCTATTGGGGCTCGTCAGTGGTGCGCATCCATCGGTCCCCTACTGTTGATCGAACCCATGACTGCTAGAGGCTAACGCCAACTAGCCAGCAGCTTATGCCACTGAGCCATGGGGAACGACAGCCGACCATTGCGAATTGTAACCCAACTGCGATATAGCCCGACCCATCCTCCACTGCCGTGTAGGTTGTTGTCCATGCAGCGGAGAGTGCTTGGCCGTCACGGTCAGGTCTTCCCTTGCCTGCGCCATGAATGCACCCAGCAAAATTGAATACTGGTAGGGCTTAGGATTTTGTTTACTAATGAGTAGACGGATTTGGGTTTGATTCGGTTTGCTTCAGATAGTTTGGTTCAAAATAATTTTTGACAAGCATGTGTTTCTTTTTATACCACTTGAAGGAAAATGCCGGAAAGGAAGTGCCGGTGGCAATAGTAGCCAACAAGATCGACCTACGTGAGCGGCACGAACAACTGGGCTCGCGATGTGTGAGCTATGAGGCTGGACGGAAACTGGCCCAAGTAAGTCAGACTATTTGGTGATGAGTAGAGAGGAGTGCGAATAGAATGTTTGCCAGTACACACATGATTATTTATGGTAAATTCACTGGAACCCTTATCGTCGGTGATGAAAGCTGCCAAAATGGTCTGAGTGTTCGCGGTGCTTGGCAGTTTGAATGCAAACCATTCGTCACCACCCGAGGTGACATCGTCAGTGCGCGTTTATGTAGCAGAGCGGCGCGGTATGAAGCGTCAGTGAGTGTGATTGATCGATCTTCTAGCCGTTAGTCTGAGCTTGGATTCTTCGACGGGCACATGACCATCGAAATCGATCTCTGATTCTCGCCACGTAGCGTACCCGCGCGTGCCTCTTCCTTTGTCATCGTCGTTTGACGCAGTTGTCTGGTGTTCTGTTCCGTTAGATTGAATTCAGTAATTCGGCGATCTTTCATCCGTAGTGGTGTATATAGCATCTATTACAACGCGTCGGTTAATTGAATTGTCTGTAGAATACCATGCTTCCAAGAACTCTCTAGCTTGCCTCGAATTTCCATGGGCTAGGATCTTTACGTTCACTAGATCGAAGTAGTGGCCTTCTTGGTCTTCATGCATGGAAACCAGTGAATGCGGGTCGGGTCTCCGTATGGCCATTACGCGTTCCTTGATCTGTGTTGAAAGTTTCTTTCCAGTTTGCCTGATGTAGTGTTTGTCAGACTCTGCAGTTAATTTTGTAAATGACATCATTCTGACTGTCTTGTTTGACTTTATCCTTCGGTCTTGAAAGCAATCTTCGTAAAGTACCAGTTGGTATGTGGACCACCAAGATTCTATGTGGTCGTAGCAACCTCGACGTTAGTTCAGACAAGTTCTTGATGTAAGGAAGCGCTACCCTTTTTATCCACGTTTTCCCGCTGCTGTTGATGCACTCTTTTCTTTAGGCTTCTTCTTCGGAGGAAGTTTCTTGGATACCCGTTGTTTTGCAATACCCGGTATAGATGGTACTCTTCCTTCTTCCTCAATTCTGTCGTGCTGTAGTGTGTTTCGGCCCTTCTGAAAAGGCTTTGAATGCAGCTTTTCTTGTGGTTCAGTGGATGGTTGCTGTGGTAGTTTAGTATTTGGTCTGTGTGGGTCTTCTTTCCATATACACATGTTTGAAGTGTTCCGCAAGAGACCAGCATTCAGGTAATGACTTTTGACGCGGACTCTGTCTGTCTAGAACAACCGAGGTCGTCCTGTGCCAGCACACTGAGGTCCCGTTTCTTTGAGCATGTCTGCAGTTCGTGCGCCTTAGGATTGTAGATGTAGGCATGCCGATGGCGAATGTGGACAACGCAGCACTTACGCACCTTGAATGGTAGCGCGTTCCTCACCGACTAATGCCATGCCTCATCGAGGTCGCGCTGGAGGGTCTCATGGTCGTCCATTCCCCCGATCACCCGCCAAACCTTAACGTCGTTCGCGAAGAGTAAAACTTTGTGGTAATAACTTTCTCTAGATCGTTAATATAAACTAAGAATAGTCGAGACCCAAGTAGCAAACTATGTGGTATGCCGCATTCTACTCAAACCAGGTCTGACAGAGATCTTCGTACTCTAACCTCCAGTTGCCGTTCGCGGAGAAAGTTACCGACCCATCCTAATATTGACGCTCCGATGTTGTATTGTTGAAGTTTGTGCAGCGGGGTTCGATAATCTAATCGATCGAAGGCTTTCGAAAATTCCACATAGAAAACATCGGTTCCTGCCCCCATGTCGAGTGTTTCGGTCCAGTTATCGCGTGCTTCAGTAGATTAGTGGCACATGATCGATGTTGTTGAAACTCGTGCTGCCCCAGCGCGATGATGCCGTAGCTTTCCAGGTGGACCTTCAGTGTATGCGAGGATCACTTCTATGACTTTGGCGAGCACAGGGAGAAGCGTTACTGAGCTGTAATAGGCAGGACCAGATCGAATTCTTCCGTTTCCACTTTTACGGAACTATGTTTTTTTACACGACGCTGAAAGGAACCGCAAATTGGTTGAGCTACGTGCCTGGCTATTACCTGTTGTGCTGTATAGTGAACGTTATCCACTCCAGGAGAACGGTGCGCACGCAGGGATAGTAGCTTTATCAGCACCGTTTCTACTGCGAATGTGATGCTGGATAACACTGATGATGTAGTGACAGAAGCGGGAATAGCGTTTGAAGGTTGTATCCCTTGGAAAGTAGGTGAATACTGGGACATTAAGATGTTGGCTACCTCAGTGCATACCTGAAAGAACATTTCGGTCACTTTGTCTTCTCAGGAGTCAATGAACAATGAACAATGAATTTATACGGGTTAAGAAGCGTTGCTTTACAAGTCCCGTTGGATAGTTGGTGGGGACATCAACATAACACTAATGATGATAAGGATAGTAAAATAGTTAATGCTTTAAATATGAAAATAAGGACTTATCGTTTGCTTCGCTGCAGTCCTGCGATCCTCTTAGATTCACAGCATCCACAGTTAACAACAAATAATTCCATGGTATACTCCAGGTGTAGGATGGAGACATAGTGTTAAGTAACAAAGTGTAATTGGATGAGTGCATCGTCCAACCGTCTTTTAAATACTGTTAGTGTCGGTGCAGAGACGACCGATTCTGGGAGAGCATTCCACGGGTGACAGACACGGATGGAAAAGAAATTTCTGCGGCACTCCAGACGACTGTATTGTTCTACGAGTTTTAATGAGTGGCCCCTCATGTTTGTAGTGCTGCTGAGTTGCAGTAAAGGGCAGCACACATGATGTGGGTCTCGCAGAATCAAGTATGCCATAATCAGGTCACCTCGTAGTCTGCGATAGCTTCCACTGAACAATCCCAGTCGTCGCAGCCTCTCCTGGTAGGAAAGATTGCGCATTCCAATTACGTTCTTAGATGCCCGACGTTGTGTCTGCTCCAGTGCATTAAGGTTGTGTTTCAGCCATGGATGCCAGGCTTGAATTGCATATTCAACATGGGGGCGAACGTACGCACTGAGCATTTGTCGAAATATGGAGCTGTTTATTTGTCCAAACGCCCGCCTCAACAGCCCGACGTGTTGGTTCCCGGTCTTCAAGGCCTTTTCGGATTGCCTGGAGCAACCCAAGTCATCTTGAACCAGGACAGCCAAGTCACGTTCGAGAGTTGATTGTTGCAGTACATCCGTTCCGAGTCGGTATGAGTAGCTGCTCTCATGTCGGATGGAAAGCACCTTGCATTTACTGACGTTGAAATGCAATAAGATTTGGGTCGACCATTGATACACCGTATCTAAATCACTCTGAAGCACATGTTGGTCGGTGTTTGCCTGGATCCCGCGCCAGATCTTGATATCGTCGGCAAACTTTAGGAAGTTTGAAGCGATTCCCTGTGCAAGGTCATTCATAAACATCAAAACAAACGTGGACCTAGAACCTAGCCTTGCGGCACACCACGCTCGACTTGTATGGGGTCCGATAAAGAGCACCGAACTCTGACCACTAATTGCCGTTGAAGTAGAAAGTTGGCCATCCAGCTTAAAAGAGGGTCTCCGATCCCGTAATGCTGCAGCTTGGATAGTAGTATCCGATGGTCTAGACGATCGAAAGCCTTGGAAAAATCCAGGTAGATCACATCAACACCTTCTCCAGCGTCGGCTGCCTCGGTCCAAATACTGCGTGCAATTAGTAAATTCGTTGTACATGACCGCTGTCGACGGAAACCGTGCTGTTCAGGAGTGATGAGGTTGCAGTTTTTCAGATAACACACCAGTGCATAGGCAACTATGGATTCCATGACCTTGGAGAGTATAGGAAGAAGGGTTACTGGGCGGTAGTTGGAGGGATCAGTTCTGCTTCCACCTTTGTGAATCGGGCTTATTATTCCAAGCTTCCACATGGCAGGAACTTGATTCTGGTCTAAGCAGTGCTGAAAAATCTGAGCTAAATATCCTGCCAGTTGGTTTGCTGCTGCTCCCAATGCCTCAGGACGAATGGTGTCGACACCCGGTGAGCTGTGTTTGCGTAGAGAAGTCAGCTTTTGCAATACAGCCTCTGCGGTAAAATTGATGTGGGTTAGTCCTGGTGAGCAGAATACAAAGCTTGGTAGATCGCTTGGTGGCAAGACTCCTTGAAACGTGGGGGCGTATTGCATCTGAAGCACGTAGCTAGTTAGGCCGCGGTGATGTTAGAGCTCAAGAATCAGATATTTCAGGGTGGCCGTTAAATATTGAAGCTAATTAGTTAGGTGTGGTGAATGCCGCACCTTACCATCCCTTAATGACATTAATCTTAATCTCAGAAAACTGTCATTGGTCTTAGTCTATGTCTGGCATAGGGAAAGCTGACTGCAGTTAAGTCTAGACAAGACTAAAGGCCTGTCAATCGACATTTCGGATGTAACGGCTGCTTGTTTGAACGTGGCTGCGACCAACCTGGTCGTCATAACCTCATACAACTGTAAAAATGTCCGCTAGTTGGTCGGAGGGAAGGTAATGGATGGAACCACTTTTGAGCTGAAAAGGAGCACAATGCGAATACTCATCGCATTTTCAAACTTGAGAGGAAACATGAAGCAGGATGGCGCGTAGTCCCATAGGGTGGTCGAATCTTTTAAAGCAGAGAAGAGAGCAGACAACTCAAACAAAATACAGACGAAAACGGTAGAATGGATTAGATGAATTGAAATCATTCAGTTCCCTTTAGCCAAACTTCTATGAGGGGAACATTGAAGTGCAAGCAGCTGTTATATTTCTATTAGGTAGGATAAAAATACATTTGGCAAGGTTTGTGAAATAAGACAGACATTAAGCAGAGTATAGAAGCGAGTGTTAGCTGAAGCCAGATGAAGTAGCCTGAATACAGTTACGTCAACAGCTCCACTGGTGATGATCATTCCGAGAGTCCAGTCTACGAAGACAGTGTATGCCACCCTGAGCTAAATTCAAGGCGAATCGCATTGTTTTTGTGCCACGCGCTCTGTTGGGAACCCAGAGGTTCGTTTGATAGTGAATGAAAGGGCTTATGGTTTCCAGATTCCAAAGAATGGTTTGACAGGAACTTCCATAAAATTAGAAAAGGGGAAAAGACGATATAGCGTCTAACGAGGAGCTTACTTTTACTTGTAAGTGGGATATTGGCTTTGTTCTTTGTCCTACTTTACAACAGAAACATATATGGGCTATTAGAACCAAGAAGTTAGTCCTTGGAGCTGAAACAAATTCTAATGTAGTGAATTGAATGCATAGTCTAGCTCTTCAAAACGTGGTATTTCGGAGCGGAAACCGCTGCGCCATGAAGTCAAGTCATGAAGTCATGGATGTCAAATATGAATAGAAAAACAACTACTACGTCATCCTAATGGACTGTGATGCGCTATCAGTTTCAGGAATTGGCACCGCAGGTTCATGTTAATGCAAAGCTTCAGCAGAAATTAGGGCATACGATTTTGATTAATCATATAACAGTCTCATAATCAGTGACATGGGTTTCTGAATCTGTTCGTATGAAAGCTGATGCATGTCAATGATATACTTAGCGACTCAACGATGAAGAAGCTCCAAGACAAAGAAAGCTGCTTACTTCAACAAAAGTTGATTGTTTGGACCGAGTAATAAGGAACTGAGGAGAGGATGAAGTCCGGAAGAGCGATTGTGGTTTTCAACGAGCATCTGTTTAGAACCTGTCACCGCATGGCCTTGGGTTTAGGAGCAGTAGTATGTATCTTTCGACTGTGTTAAACGGGCACCAGCATTTATGATCAAGTGAGGTAGAGTCGTGGAGAGTCTACACCATACTGGCCATGGGCGAACGACTAGCAGAGCTGGTGTGGTATACCAGTCGAACTGAGCTTAAAAGTCATAGATAAATCCAACGGATAAGTTATAAGGAGAGAACCCCTTCGATATTCACTCAACCGATAACTTTTGACCTGTTTGACATGAGTAGTCTTAAAGTCACTTGAAGATTACCAACCTGGTTAATCGATTACGGAGTTGATCAGATCAACGGATAAGGTCGCAATTTGGTCTGACAGAGATGAGCTCGACCTACACAACCGAATCATAGTGGTGATCGATAGGTTATTCACTAAGTGGAGAATAAAGTGGCTTGCGATAGTGTACAAAACGGAACTCGTTTGGAGAAAATGTTCCCCAAATTTGATCAACTAGGGAAAACAGTAGCACGGTTGACAATGGTCGAATTGTTGTAAGCACTGTCAAGCCGATGGAACCAGTCGGATGTTATGAGATAAAAGTGCATTAAATGCTACATAAGTGAAATAATTTTTCCAGTCAAACTTAATGAAATAGACTATAATAAATCAATAGGTTAATGGAAAATATTGGAGATTAATCAAAAGAATAATGAAGGATAAGCTGAAGTTAAAACCTTACACTGTCTGCTATTTTTTCCTATCATTGAGAGACAATAATGTATACTTAACCCTTTTTAGGAAATCGGAGCACTCTTCTTTGAAACGAGCGCTGTCACTGGAGCGAATGTGAATGAATGCGCAACGGAGCTAACCAGGTAAGATACGAGATCGTGCGCCGATCGATCAGAGCGAGTTTATCGATTTGTTAAACACTGTGTAATACTAGCCGGAGCTCATTGTCATCAAAGTGCCCTCATCTTGGTTGATTTAAGATTACATGAGGGCGTTGTCTTTTTCAACGGTAGAGGCATGTTGGTCCCTTGAATTTTAAAGATTGTTGGATTCAGTGCTTGTAGAACTAAGACCGAAACACAGTACCGCGTGGTAAGCATGTGTGTGGCAGGAAGGGATTACGACACGCAACCTCAGTTCGCATAGCGCTTTGCTTTGAAACAGGTCTTTGTTAAGTCCGTCACTTGGACTCATGCGGATTGAAATCTAGCAACGCACATAAGGTACACGAAATTCTCAAAAGCCCAACTGTTTATCCATAATGGCTGTGACCGTGGTTGCTCTCAAAGCTTGAGGATGGAACTTCCTGGCGACGACCCCTGTGACATGGGTACGATTTCGGGGCCGGTTATCTCTAAGTAAAGAGCTTAAATAATGACGAACTAAGCAGTGTGAGGCCGTGGTGAGATGAATCAATATGCGAAAGCTATGAGGGGGAAAAGTGACGTGCAATTAGCAGCGCGAGTTCAGGAGTAGAACAACTTGCTCTATCATGCATAGCCAGTGACAAGGTTGTAGTAGACGGCTTAGCTACCGGCCTATCGTGCATAACAGAGCCGGATTTCAGCCTCGTGATCAACCTGTGGTAAGCAATGTGTGGCCAGTGATACTGGGCTGCGAGTGGTAGCATTTTTCAAGCCAGCTGTGTTCATAGCTTGAGAACAGCTGCAAGTTTTCAGAGGTGATAGAGGGTCCCCAGTGAACCACCCATCAGACAAGGAGAAATAGCAGCTTATATATATATATATATATATATATATATATATATATATATATATATATATATATATATATATATGAGGCACGGCCCAGCTAAGCTGGTCCGATCATAGGTACAAAGGAAATGCAGGATGGTTTTACAAAAACCGCTGTACAGAAAACTTCGCGTTCCAATTCCATTGATTATTGCGCCCTTGATTTCGTTTCAAAATTCGTCGGAATCCACGACAATTGCAAAACTTTCAGATACGTTTAGGCGGATGGTTGGGAAAAGAAAGCAAAATAACAAAGTTTTGGTGAGTGACAATATGTACATGGAAAATGTAACTTAAGAATTCATAACATTGGTATATAAAAATCATTTATAAATAGCGAAAGTGTGTGAGCAGACACGATAACACGAAAGACTGTAAAACTGCGAACTGCATCCATCATAAAACTAATCAATTAGAACTAACGACTTATCTCACACAGGGCAAATGGCATTGCTTACATAAATTGGGTGGGTTAGTTGCGGCCAATAACGATTTACACTTTCAGTGGGTCCATGCCTGGCAGGCACACATGCCTTTCACCTAGCTGTGTAATAGAAAGGAAGCACTATATGAAGGCTAAGGAAAAGGCCTGCTTATCCAACCCACCAATGTGCGCATGTCTTTCAAATGCCATCAGTTGATCTTCAAATAAAGTAAGAGCACAGTGAGAAGCTGTTTAGGTGAAGAAAAGTCAAAGATAAATCCCACCTATCCAACTCGTCGATGTGCCCATGTTTCATAGGTCACCAACGAGCTATCAATCTGAGTAACACGAAGATTATAAATATATACATAAATAGTTTATTCTCGATAGCAGCGAGGCACGCCTAATCAGGCACGATCAAAATTTTACAGACATTGTTTCGCAGTGGACACATTGTGTTGTATGTATAAATTGGGAAAGTATATATGAGGAAAACATCACCTTGGCGATAGCCGCTGAACACTGTCCGCCGAGTTCCACTCACAGCTCGGCTATCTCTACCTGATGAGTCTAAACAAAGACGAAACCGTCGGTCGTGGAGTACAGGGATGGGAGAGAGCCACATCAAAACTCTCCACATTGGTGGCACAGTATTTTAATAATGGACTGGCGTACAGTTTGAATGAGAGGTTTAACCTCACTTGTTATAAAAAGCGGCCTATGATTCCAATAGTCTGTCGTGTTTTAACCACCGTATACCCAACTTGTTCTTTGAAATGTAACGAACCTGAGTAACGGAGACCTAAGCAACAAATCGATACGCATAAAGGGAGTGGGATTCCATGCAAAAAACGAACGTTCAAGTGGAACCAAGCATCCATAGCAAATAATGCTGCATTAGGATGTTGAAAATTGCATGGAAGGTCCGATACACCAGTCTTCTAGGCAAACTAGGTCACTTTGGATTGCAGGTATAAAAGAGGGAGATAGAGAATCAGTGGCATACAAAATTTTTGTCATCTGCGAACAAACGAGGTCTACCGTGCTTTATTGCAGGGAAAAGATTATTTAGGTATATCAACAAATGAATAGAGCCGAGTAAAACAGCTCGTAACACGTCACCAGTAATATCTGTTGTTTCCGACAGACACACATCTATCTCGATTCCCTGCTTTCGACCTGGGAGGTAAGCTACTAACCAGGATAGTAATGAACCTGTGATTCCACAATGGCGGTTTATGTATAAGCGTTCTGTGTGAAACCCTGTCGAAGGCTTTTTGTAGATTCAAGTGAATTGCGATACAGGCCTAACCAGGGTCTGTCGACTACGTCAAGTAATCAAAGAACTCTAGCTCGCAAGTGACACTTGAACGCTTTTAAAGAAATCCATACTGCGAATATAACAAAAGGTTGTTGGATGTTAGGAACTTAAGGCTTTTATCATTAAGTAGGCGCTCCATGATTCTGGAAATTATAGCAGTGTGATTTACTGGCTGATAGTTGCTAATGTTATGTCTAGGCCCGGTTGTATGGTGTGGTGTCACTATGGTCAGTTCCCGCTGATTGGGGTAAAACTCAGTTGTCCTTGATGTAGTAAATAAGTTCCGTAGTAATCTGGGGATATCATACCCATATATATATATATATATATATATATATATATATATATAATGTCACACACAACCCCGAATTAGGTGGTAGTCTGTAAAACAATGAATATGTGTAGCTCGAAGAGTGGATATGAACTTTTGTACACTGAGCTGACAGATGGGCTTGCAGATGTTGCGCTGCAAGGCCAGACAAGATCAGCAGTGCGGCTTCAACAGCTTGGTTTCCGGGCCTCGTTAGCTACTTCTAGGACCGAGTGGTTATTAATAGAATTCTGCCTTGAAGGTCGGGTTTCGAATTTGATATTTTTCATGTTGAACTGACGGCATCAACATGCATGGACAACCGCGATTGCTGATCGTGACCGTGAATATATGGATTATGCTCACGTGCCAAACTTTTATCCAACCTTGTTATTGTCACAGTTTTGGCAGCAAAACCCGTGAATCAAACATGTTGCGTTTATTGTGTTAACCTTATTTTACCGCTAAGATTTGGCTTCGGATTGTTCCCGTTGGTTGTCAGACAGCTGTAACTCCGAGATACAATAAAGTTCACTCTGACACTTAAGAAATTCGACCGGTGTAGAGCAACGTGGCTCGCTTCTCAGCGCTTAAAATTATGGAGGTTGATCTGCAGTGAACTAGTATACCTTTTAGGTAACGGTACCGCTTGAGTAGGCTAAAGATTTGAGCTACCTCTGCTCGTCTCAGCTGCGATGTGTTACAGCGTATTCGGGCTCGCTCGAATAGGGCTCTCACGCAGCTGCGTTTGTGGGCTGTCGGATAACTGTTGCCGTACTCCAATATCTTACGTGTATGCGTCAGTTTTAGATAAACCCGAAATTGGACGTCATAAACTTTTTCAGAACTGTTCTGAAAATTTATAATTATGCGCCCCAGGTGGAGTGAGGTGGAAAGACAGTCTGCTTCTTTGTAATTTAGTTAGCCCCTAGAACTACGTGACACCAAAGCTTGTGGTTTCATCATTTTCTATTCCGATTTGGTGAATTTCCTCATTAGTTACAATCTTTGCATTTGTCCCTATGTTCAAATAGGCTACTTTGCGCCCAAGAGGATTACAATCTGCGGAGGCCACAATTGAAATTCAACGCTACAATCAAACCCCGAAATAACAATTGTTGTAACACCTGAAACATCTCAAGCCTTTATCTATCGAAGCATTATTATCGGCTTTATATATCACAATCCATTTCCCTCATCCACCTAATATTCGACTCGGCTGTCATTTCGAGCCAACAGATTATCCCAAGATCTATTCACACCGTACTCTTTTGGACACTGCATCTATCATTGTCCGTTATTTCGCTACTTGAGATGTTTAAATAGACGTAACCACTTTTTGGAATGATGTCACGAGTTTACCCACATGGTCGGCTTCATTCACCTTGGTACAACAATACTGCAGTCCATTTGGGCCACTTAACCGGACACTGAAATTCAGTGGATCCAGCTGCGCCATCAAGATGGTAGTGGATAACTTAACAAGCGGTGTACGAATCCCTGGGTGAGAGCGATCATTAGTACACAAAGTGGTTATAGCTTCCGTGATTTAACACAAAAAAGAAAGTTGTCAGGTCACATAATTTCCCAACCTCCTCAATTTAGCGGAGTCAATGTATTCATGGTTTCGCTGATCAGCAACCTGCTCGTTTGTAAGTCATTTATTTAACATGATTGTTTGAGCCACTGATTTACAATATACTGCGTAGCAAAACCCTAAAACAGTTATTGGTGAGGGGTGAGAAGTAGATGGTAGCAGCACAAATTTTATTGTATGGATAATAATGGAGGCAGAATAAGCTGGCTGCAGGTTTCTAGTGATCCATATGTCGGATTTAGTCAAGGTGTATAGAAGTTGCTGGGAACCAAATGTCTTTGACACATTCGGTAGAGTGAGAAAGGTTGCAAGAGTTGTTCAGAATATTGTGAGGTTTGCACAGACGCCACGTATAGCGGTAGTTCGTTTCAGATTAAAATTGATGGGGTTTGATGAACTGCGTATCGTGAGTATAGTGGGTAGCCTGCAATAAGGACGAGATGAATATGATGGTTCATCATTATACACGTTAGCTAGATGTGGGAACACCTCAGCTACTGTGCTGCGATACATAAAAAAGGAATAAAATGCAATAGGTTCAAGCCAGCTGTGCTACCGGTAACGGATGGGCATCGCTCCGTTAAGCTATCTGCCGGCTAACCAGCAGCGGAAAAAAGGTAATTTACTATGCAAAATTATAAAAGTCTAAATATTGAGATTGTGATTGGAGGAGGAGGCTAATAGGGATGGGGTGGGACAAAGAAACTCACAGCACGAACGCCACTGAGGTCGGCTCCTAGTCATACCAACAAGTGTGTCTAGCCAAACGTGTTCACCGTCTTTCGGACCCCAAGCAGGGAGCCGAGACGCTCCAACCGACGCCAGCTTCGAAGTGAGGGCCTTCATTCGTCTCGAGCAAGTCATCGTTTGACCACCTCTTCTCTTCTTCCATCCACACCCACGGCGCGGAAATAACGCACGTCGCGGGAGTCGGTGGGCTAGCATGCGTAACACGTGGTCGAACCATCGGAGTCTGGTGCGTGAAATAACGGTACTGAGTGGTTCATTTCCTTTTCCTGTGCCGTAAACAAGACGTCGGACACGCTAGTTCCTTACTCGGTGTTCCCAACAGAAGTGAGCCAAATTGCGAAGGCACCAGTGGTCGAAGCTAACTAGTCGCTTTAAGTCCATTGATCTAAGGGGCTAGGTTTCACAACCGTACAGTAGGGTCGAACCTACCGCTGCATTGTACACCCTAACCTTTAGGGCGAGAGTGATGTCGCGTCGGCGCCATAAGTGGCGAAGGTTAGCGAAAGTGCCTCGATCTTTTGCTATACGGTTCGTGATCTCATTTTCAATCCCGCGGGCGCTGATACAACTTCCCAGGTAGTTGAATTTTTGAACGACTTCTAGATGATCCCCACCAAGGATCAGCGAAGGAGGCGGTCCAGGCCAGTCTTGGAGGAACGTTTTATACTTCGAGAGTGCAAAGCAAAGCCCGAAGTGACGGACAGCCAGTTCTAAGCCATCCGGTGCAGCTTGGCACGTTTGTAAGCTGTCACAGATTAGGACAATATCATCAGCATACTATAAGTCAAGAAGTCGTTCTCCTGGGAGTAGCTCCACACCTTCTAAGTCGTGTCCTGTGAACGCGATTTCCATGACTTCGTCAATAGCGAAGTTGAAGAGGAAAGGTGACAGCGGGCATCCTTGTCTAACACTGCTGGAGATATTAAAGTGCGACGACAGCTTACTGTAGGCCCTGATTCTGCCTGAGCTACGCGCATATAATGCTCGGATAATATTCACATATTTCTCAGGTACATCTTTCCTGAGTAGACAGTCCTAAAGTGCATGTCTATCCACCAAATCGAATGCACCTTTGATATCGAGGAACACGAAAACGGTGGGCCGCCAATATGTGTGACGGTGCTCCAACGACTGATGCAAAGTGAAGATGTGGTCAAAGCAGCCACGACCTCAACGAAACCTGGCTTGCTCTTCACGAATATGGCTTTCACGAGTGCCAGTCAGTCTGTGAAGGATGACAGAGGCAAGCAGTTTGGAGGCCATTGAGATCAGTCTGATTCCTCTATCGTTGCCGCATTCCGATCGTGAGCCTCCCTTGAAAATTGGGACTAAGACGGAGCGGCTCCAGTCGGTTGGGACAGTGTCCTGCTCCCAGTTTCACTAATAACTCGTATAAATCATTCACAAGAGCAGATCTCCCGAATCTGAAGAGGGCTGAAGGAAGATCATCTGGTCCCGCGGTTTTATTTAACTTCAACAGTCCGATCTGACGTTCGACTTCTGAGCGAGAAGGTGGATCCAAAGGGACAGCCCACGGAGCGGGGCGATCATTGCTCGGCAAGAAATCTAACAATTCCGACTGATTAAATTGCCTTTCAAATTGCTCAGCCCAACGCTCTAAGCATTTTGACAAGTTGTGGATAGGCTGTCCACTCTCGTCACGTGTAGTTTCACTAACCCCAGGTCTTCTGTTGCCCGTTTCTCGTAGTAGCCAGAATTACGTTCGATGATTACCAAGGGCAGTGGTCATTTCCTTCACTGAAGCACGATGAGACCACCAGAATTCGCCGTCTCTCTTCAGGCTAGCACGGAGGCGCGATGGATAAGTTTTTAGTGAGTCGAAGGCGGTGCTCTCTGCATAGACCCGGTTATTTACAATGTTGGAAAGACGAAGGAGATTGTTCTTCCATCATTGCAGCTGAAGGGATTCCAGTCGGTGAGGACGACTACGATCATGGTAACTTAGCATTGGGATGTATCCAATCAGCAGCGTAGTAAATGATTGTTGAACACTTTCCAGAGCCACTCTGGTTTTCCTGCTTGGTTGACTGTGAATGACGACATAAAAATTCAGGGTAGGTCTCACAATAATTCAGGATATCTCAAGTTCTAGTTGAACATTGAGGAAGAACGATAAATTGAGTATGGATAAAGAAGCATTAAGGAACAGATAAGAAAATTAGTTGGGTTGAAAAAAAATTGAACGAGTTATTGACTCATGTTTCAAACCACTGACGTGACTGATGCCGGGGCCAATCACTTCAAGTAGACGGCGCAGACCAGCCCGACCAGATCGTTCATTTAGTTTCTTTATGCCTTTCTGCTAGCAGATTCGCACAACTAGGTAAGGAAAGAGCATACAATATGCACAAAGGAAAGTGGTCAAAATGATGATATCGTTGCACACTGGATAAAACAAGCGATGAATCCACGACAGCATGTGTAATGGCATCAACAGTAAGCCGGTATGCAGTAACGACGCTTCGCTGCCACGCAAGCACCAATAGTCGAGGGTGGGCTAAGGATACTATGAGGGTCGCACGGTCCCCTACGCAACCTCGAATCAGCGATCTCAGATTACAAGGTAGGCTTGTGATCCTCAAAGTCGCAAGCGGGCAAAAATACGTGTTCCTTCTAAGTATGTTAGTTCCTCATAAGATTCTAACCACATAGATGCCGGGTTAGTTTCATGTACGATAGATGAGGAGTCAGAAGTCGCGACAGCTAGTAGGTTGTCAAGAAAATTAATTCACAACAACGTCAAATTCGAGAAACTGGTGACTGTGACCAAACTTTCGAACCGGCAAATGGAGAGATTGAAGTCCTTTCCGAAGGACTAAAAGTTAGAGTCTAGAGTTCAATCAGAATCCCAACTCATACAAACAAAGTGCGTTGATGTAAATCGTCATAATAATGGTAACAACAATAACATTAATAAAATGTAAAATGCCATAAAAATGAGTAGGTCAAAATATGAAGATGTTCACAGGTACCATCTACTCGTTCATTAGAAAAGATGATAGAGGTAGGATTCAAAGGATTGATCACAAGAAACCACTAGATCGACCACCCACCGAATCGAAGAATGAACAGTTGAAGAATACGGGCAGAGCTAAAGGGGAGTTTTGTGTCTGTATAAGTATTAGATACAACGTGATCTGCCTGAAACGTGGGAATTTTTATTCACCCTTCACATCGTATACTGCTACAATCAAAACACGAATTTCGGACTTTTTTCAGAACTAAAGCGAAGTTGATTGTGGGGGAACAAACTGTATGAATATCCTGAACTGCACGAAATCGATCGACTGGAGGCAAAAGGCTGAATATCTGCTAATTAAACTGTAGCCTCACATAGTTTCAAATGCTATGGACACAGCGTCTAGTGAGAGGAAGTAATGACCTCGAAAGCTAGCCACTGTCATCTTCAAAGGTAGTAACCTGATTGGCAGTGAAAGGTAGGTCGTGCTACATACCAGTTAGTTTGCAAATTAGGTAGCCCAACCAGTGACTGCATGGCTTAGTGACTTAAGCTGCTGTTTAGTTGGCGTCAGGCTTTAGCGGTCATGGGTTCGATCCCCAGTAGGGGACCGGGGGATGCGTACCACTGACGAGTCCCCATAGGGCGAAACACTTCTGGTGATTTCCCGGATTAGCGGTTGTACTATATAGCTTGTGAGCTGCTGTGAGGAATACATTAAAAATATACAAGTGGTCAGGAATGTAGAAGAAGGTGATTAAAGAAAAATGCATATCGTCTCGACAAAAATGTGTCGAATAACGGACACCAAGTTCGTTCACACGCGAGCGCCGGGACAAAGGGGGACAGTAGACGTTATCCGTGAGATAGAATGTAACTGGCCACACAGTCAGGTGCCCAAAGAGTTCGAGACAAACTCAAAAATCAAAAGGTTCACACACCACAACAACAGTGTGACTGGAAATAACAGCGCTACGTGACTAAGTAACTTCGAGTACAAGATAAC